AGGGGCAAGAGGGCAGAGTGTGAGGGCTGTGGGCAGGACTTGCACCTGCCCTGTGTCACTGGGCAGCCTCTCTGCACCTCAGTTTTCCCATTTGTCAAGCAGGGTCATAGCAGTGTCTCCCGCCCTGGGCTACCAAGGGGATGACTTAGTGAAGGCATGCGAAATGCCCGGAGCTCCTCAGATGTGAATGCAGTTTCTGGGACCCAGAAACTACTTTGCAAGTCAGGATTCTAGTCACCTGCCCTCTGTCCCAAGGCTATGGCTGGTGTCCTAGGACAGACAGTGTGGGGACAGAAATGCTGGCATTCTGTGGCTTCCAGGACATGGGGGCAGGACATTGGTAGACTCACCACGATGACATAGCGTGGCCAGTACTGGACAGCACCGAAGAGTCCCAGGATGACGAGGATGATGTGGATGAAGTTGGCCAGGATGGGTGCCCACTGGTAGCCAAGGAAGTCAAACACCTGCCTCTCCAGCACTGTGACCTGGGGCAGGGCCGGTGGGTGAGGGGCCTCCCAGGCATCTCTCCCACAGCCCCATGCCCCCAAGCCCCCTTGCCTCGTGCCTCAGTGAGGAGCTGGCCATGCTGGCTTATAGGACCCTGAACGCTCAGCCCACCACACCCAGAGTCTAAGCACAGAGCCGCCCACCGGTGCTCCTGAAGGATGCTTCAAACCTGCCTCACAAGACCCTCCCTCCAGCGGCCTGCCCTCCTGGGCCGCGGCCGCTCTGCAGCACCAGGATCTGGGGAAGTGGGCATCAGTACCCAGGGCTGTAGGACCAAACGGCTACACGACACTCAGTGCAGGGCACAGGGCACAGGGCACAGGGCTCGGGGCACTGAGTGCACAGCACGGGGCACAGGCACCAAGCTCACAGTGCTGCGCACCACCTATGCCCAGCACCACAGCTCTCGGCCGACAGGCGCCAAGGACCCTGGGTCTGCCCAGAGCACCTCTCCCATCTTGACACCAAGGCCTTGGCATGTAGGTCCTCACTGTGGGCAGGTGGTGGGCTCTGATGATGGCTGAGCCACCTTCTTTGAGGGTGCACCTTCCAGCTGTGTGGGCTCCAGCCCTTCTGGCCAGGGAAAGAGCCACAGAGGGACGGACGGCCTCAGGCCTGGGTGAAGTGGCCACGTGTTGAAAGTGGTGTGGGGGTCATTTGTCTGTCTGGGAAGTGGGGCTATGGACAGATGCACCATTTGCTGAGCCCAGGGGCAGGGCAGGAAGGCCAAGGCAGTCACCCCAGGCATCAAGGAGATGTGGGTGCCTTCTCAAGCAGGGAGGCCTTGAATGCCCCTCCCAAGACTGGGAGCCCACAGGGGAAGACACCTGGGGTGGGGCTGAGGGCAGGAGGGGCGCCTCTCCTCCCACAAAGCCTCACTGGGTACCAAGACTGAGAATGTCAGAGGGGACTTTGTGGATATGCCCCAGGCAGTGGGTCACTGCCCGCCACAGGCACCAACAGAGCCCCTCTCGGGCCGGCTCCCCTGCCCCTGCGGGGCCCTGGGCTCTTGGAGTCCATGACCAGCCTCCAGGGGCAGCTCCTGTGTCATGGCTCTCACACGCCAGGGCACAGCCCCTGCCACCATGTGGACTGGAGGGTGCCTGATTCCAGGAAGCCCGGGGGTGGGGGATATTCCAAGGATGTCCTGAGGGCTGGGGTCCACCCTGGGAGACAACTGTGGGGGGACGGGGAACAGTGGTGTGATTGAAACCAAGTAAAGTCAAAACTATTTCCCCCACCCTGGTTAAAACAGATAATTAGATAGGACCCTGGGTGGGAATACATAAGTAAACTTAATTACCCTCAACTATTTCCCCACCCCGGACTCCAGTTGGAGACAGATGAGTAAACACATAGGACCCCGGTTGGAGACAGATGAATAAATACAATAAGCTCAGTTCCTTAAGAACTGAATGGAACAAAAAACTTTCTTTCCTGCTATTTCCTTAGGCACAGGTGATAAACACGTCAATGTGTCTTAGCAAACAACTTGAAAATTAACTCTGGCCCCCCTCCATGCACAGTGGGGCAGAGAGGAACAAAGTTACTGGGAACTCACTCTCTCCTCTGCCTAAGCCCGGATCAGCTGATGACAGGAAGCCAGTGTGACTCATCTGGTACGCAAGCGCACTGGATCAAAACACTACTGTCCTTTTAAACCGAGGCGAAGGAAATCTCAGCCAATCGTCAACCATCTCACGCCCAAATTCCTGAAATTTTTATGAATATGCATAACCCTCTCTTCTGAAACCTACAACACTAATTCGATGGCATTTTGGGGAGTCAGATCTGGGTACGGACCCCTGCCTCCTTGCATTGCCACTTTGCAATGAGTAATTTTACCTCCTCTTAATCACTCGGTGTGTAAAATGTTTAGGGCTGACTGCGCGCAGGGCAGGGACCCACATTTGGCCCTATTTAATGACGACAGTTGGTATCACCCAGTGTGGTGGCTCATGGTATCACACACAACGCATACATGCATGTGTACACACGCACACACACACACATGCACACACACATGTGTGCACATGCACACCACATGCACATGTGTGCACACAAGTACACATGAACACAGGTGTGCATGTGCACGCACACACTCATGCACACATGTGTTTACATGCACACACCCACATGCAGCATACATGTGCACACACATGCATGCACACCCACACACAGACATACACACACATGTTTACATGCACACACCCATACACCACATGCATATGTGCATGTGCACAGAGATGCATGCACATCCCCACACACATATGCACACATGCACACATGCATGTGCACCTGTGGCTCCACCCCCATGTTTTCCTGTGGCTCCTTCCCTCTTCCACTGGTCAAGGTGAAGACCTTTCTCTCCACGCAATGGTGTGACTGCCCACCTGCCCAAATCCTGACTGGCAATGGGGGGGTGAGGGGGAGAGGAAGACTTGGGGGTGAAATAAGTAGTAGTGACACCAACTAGGTGACAAGTAACACCAATCCAATGAGGCCACTGCCTTGGTGGCTACACTGCGTCACCCAGCTTGTCTGCCTTTGCCTCTGCTGCTACCACCACAGATCCTGGGGACAGTGTCTGGGGGTGCAGTCAACACCCCTCCACCCCTCAGTGTCTGGGGGTGCAGCCCATGCCCCTCCACTCCTCAGTGTTGGGGGGTACAGCCCCCACCCCCACCCCTCAGTGTTGTGGGGTGCAGCCTGTGCCCCTCCACCCCTCAGTGGGGCAGGCCTATTGGAGAGCCAAGCGAAGGCCAGTGGACACTCCCCATGGGCATCACTGTCCCCACCCAGGCTTCACACTATCCTTCACCCCCCATCCCATGGGCCTGGGACTGGCCTGCTCAGATGGGGTTCTCTCATGTCCCCTCCAACAGAACCCCTGGCACAGAAGGGATGATGGTTTAGCCTTCCACCACTCACTGTGGGCTCGGGCTGGAATCGAGCTGGAGGAGAGGGTGGCATTCATGCCTGGACATAATTGTCTGGGGAATCTGCTAAGCTCTGGGGCTGCTCCCAGGACCTGGGGCCACATAGGCTTGTCACCTGCCTTCCCTTCCTTGGTCCACACAGGGCATGTCCCCCACCCCGTCTCCAAAGCTGGGCGCCAGGGTGGACTCCGTGGCAGGTGTCCTGGTTACTCACTCCCTCCCTGAGATCAGGCGGCTGTCAGCTTTCACTGCTGCCAGCTCCTGGACCCTCCTGGAGGGGATGCTGCCCCTGGGCTGGCCCCTAGGGGGAGCCCACGGGTTCCACACCTGCCCAGCTTTCCCCAATGAGGCCACGCCCCTGGCGTCCCATCAGCACGCCCACAATGAGAAGCTCGGGAATCTGCAGCCAAAGGGCAGGGTGCCAGCACTCCTGGGAAGATGCCAAGGCCTTTGTGGAAACTTCCAGGGCTGATGGTGGGCTTAGCTTGATAAGACAATCAGATTCAATAATGTGGGCTAGAGGACTGTACTTGCCTGTTCCCACTGCTGAAAATAAGCCCTCATTCCAGCCTTTGGGGCGGCCGCTGCTCACACATGAGAACGGTGGCACTTCAGCTAGTGCCAGCGGCTGCTGGTCCAGTTCCAAAACTCCCGTCCTCTGCATGTGATGCGCCTTTCCCCCAGGGGCCCTCATGGCCCCACAGGCCAGAGGGCACCCCGGTGAGCAGGATGGGTTGGTCCTTTACATGGAGAAAGGGGTGAGCCACCAACCCTGCAGGGAACAGGCACACCTCTGGCCAAGGTGGATCTGGCCACAGTGCACAGGGTCCCTGGGAGCAGAGGCAGGAGCACTGAATCAGGGCAGGCTCCCTGGAGGAGGTGACACCCGGGCTGCATCCTGAAGGATGGGTAGGAGTTGACCTCCTGGAGGTGGAGAGGGAACAGCATGCATGCTGTGCAGAGGCAGAGAGAGGTGGGCAGCATCTCTGGCAGGTGTAAGAGGGCGTGAGGGCTGCAGGGGTGGGGGGGACTACAGGGCCAGGCTTCAGGAAGCCATCCTGCAAGCAGTAACCCATCCAGGCTAAGGTTCACTCCCCTGCTCCTGCTCCAGCCCCACCCACACTGATAACCCTGACCCTGCAAGGACAGGGCTGGACCTCTGGAGTTCAAGGGTTCTGGAGAGGATCCCCAGCTGGGCTTGCAGAAAGAGCACAGAGGGGTCAGAGAGAAGGGGAGTGCTGAGGACAGCCAGACCGGAGCCCACCGGACCCTGGAGGAAGACAGAAACACAAAAGCCTGCTGAAAATGTGTCTGCAGGACAGACAAACACCTG